CCTGACATTTCTGTGCACAGAGCTGGGGCTGCAAGAAATCTTCTCTCTTCCCTAGGCACAGGCAGGGAGGAAGAGCCCTGGTGTCAGGCTTGGGAGAGGCGAAAAGTTTTGCTGCTTCTCCCTACCAGGGGTCGGACTGCTATCAAATGTGCAGGGGGGAGGAGGTTGATAAATAACTCCCCTCCCCAAGCTGCACTCACAGGGGTTGGTGGAGGGGGAGATGCCCGAAGGCTGGGGAGACGGGCACTAGGACAGTGTGGCCTGGCAAAAGGAGGTGTTGGTGTCCTGACAGTAGCCTTGCCTAACGGGCCAGATTCTCCCAGAATTGTGCCTGTTTGAGGGAGCTGTCCTGGATATCCAACAGGGTGGCTCCAAACACTGGCCAGCTGGCCATGCCTAACGCACTCAGGACCATCCGCCGGGTTGCAGGGTCTTTGTACCTAAGAGATGGCAGCCCTAGTCCATGGGTATAGAGAAGGGGCAGCCAGCCCACCATGAGCAGCCCTTCCCAGGCAAAGGGACAGGGCAGACACGCTCCACCCACACTGCCCTTCCCCCAGCAGGCAAAGCTGTTTTTTTCTTCTTTAAATGAACTGTATTTATAGAAATGTTTCCATTTCCTTTTAAAAATCCTCACTCTGATCTGGATTTACATATGCCTCTGCAGAGTTTGCACCCCAAACACTGCAACAGGGTGCTGGCACCCCAGAATCCAGAGAGGAAAAGGGGGCTGTAAAGAAATGCAGAAGGAAGGAGTCCAAGCTGCAGGAAACTCAGAGGAAGCTGCGTGAATGGCCAAGAGTGGATTTTTATATGTAATCAAAGGTACCAGCAGTAACCTAGCTAAGGGATTTTTTTTTTTTAAGGATTTTTAATCTGATCCCTGTGACAGAGCCCAGAACTTAATGGAGGGGGAAAATCTAGATAAACGTAACACCCCAAGATCAACAGCCTATCCAGGATGGAAGTACCACAGGTCACAGATGGCCAGGAGCAGTCGGTTTCTCAGTTATGCACCTCACCTTTGCATCCACAGCCACAATGGGCCTGAAAGAGGGGGGAATCCAGGAGCCCTGGATCAGGCTAGACACTAGATTGCCACAGACTTGCCATCACCACTGCTAGCAGCCGCTCAGAGGTCTCCCAGCCAAGGAATGACCTAGTCCACCCGGCTTAGCTAGGGAGGTGTCAGGATCACTGCCACCCCTCCCGCTAACCACAGCATGACACGATACTGCAGGAGTCTCCTGCCCAACCCCAAACTGTGTGATCCCCTCCCCGCCAATCACACCTTCCCTGCCTTAAAGCCACCCCTCTTCTCCGCAGGCCACACACAACGGAGCAGATTGGGAAGAACTCCTCCTCGCTTATCAGCTTCCCTAACTTCTGGGGCACAAACCAATGGCATCTGATGGCTCATTCCCAAACCCCAGGGAAAGCAGAGCCAGCTGACCCCCTCCCCGAAACTCTGGCAAAGGCAGACACTCCCCCAACACTTGTCCCTGCATCCTCCACTAGAAGAGTGCAAGGCAATCATCATGCTAGCTCAGAGACTGAGGTATGCCACTCTGCCAACCTCCTGGCACAGCAGTATTATCCTACCATGGCCAGAGGTCCCACGAGGACCGCCACGCCCTGACAGTGGCTAGTCAGTGTCCCCCGAGACCCACCTACACTCAGCCAGACCCAGGGAAGGCAGCAGTTAGAGGCCAGAGAGAAATCTTGTCCCTGGTGGGCACTGGTCCGGGTGTGAAAGGGGCTGGAGGGAAGGAGACTGCAAACCAGAGGAGCAGACGGAGACAGCACTAGGGAAGGGGAAGGATGTACGGGGGAGACTGGAAGTTGGGGAGCCCAAGTTGTTGGTGTGGACAGAGAGTGGGGAAGCAGCTGAGAGTGTGGAAGAGGGGGGGGGGGGAGAAGGGAGGGTGATGGCTGATGACTGCATATGGGGGTGGGAGAGGACAGGAAAAGTGGGAAGGATCCCTGGCAAATGAAAGGGGGAAGGAAATGAAATGCAGTGTTGGGGGCGCCTCAGAGCACTGCGTTCCCCTAGATAGGCACAGTGGGGATAGTGCCAGAGTGGGAGGTTCACTGGGGCTCCTTCCCCAGGTGGGGGTCACCTTCTCACCTTCTTCCCCATACACGCCTTGCCAGGGCACACTCTCTCCAGGGGGGCAGGCTGGCGCCTGCTTCCACTGGCGAGGGAAGGATCCCCCGGAGACTTCCACAAGGCTGGTGGGAAGGAGTTACGCTGGGACTCCAACTCCAACCTCGGGGTGCATTGCACGGGGGGGGGCTGCAGAGGGGCCCCCCAAAGGGCGGAGGGCAGTACAGTCCATTGGAGGGGGTGCAGCAGGGCAGTGCTCCACCCCCCAGGAGTGCATCTGCGGGAAGGGGCGCAGCAGGGTGCACAGGCTCGGGGTGCCACAAGGCTGGTGGGAAGGAGTTACGCTGGGACTCCAACTCCAACCTCGGGGTGCATTGCACGGGGGGGGGCTGCAGAGGGGCCCCCCAAAGGGCGGAGGGCAGTACAGTCCATTGGAGGGGGTGCAGCAGGGCAGTGCTCCACCCCCCAGGAGTGCATCTGCGGGAAGGGGCGCAGCAGGGTGCACAGGCTCGGGGTGCAGGGGGGGGGAATGTGCAATGGGGGGCCCCGAGCTCTCACCTCGAACATGAGCGCGATGAGCACGCACAGCACCAGGCAGAAGCCGATGTCCGCGTGGTTGTGGATCAGGAACTCCTGGCTGAAGAGCGGGTGGCTCTTGGGCCGC